CCTAAAAATGCCCACCATTAGCCGCGTTCCCAAATTTTAACCTCGATGCCTCCTCTACTGTGTTATTTATAATCTCTATGTTCTATGGAGCTGATGGTTGCATTTTCCGCAACTGCTCCAGGTTAGATCCAATAAATGTATAAAAATTTACACTCGAAATTTCCATCTACAAAATCCTTCAACAATTACTAGACCGAGTGAGATGCCCATGTTATACTGTATATCGTTGTAAAGCTTATACCATGCCATCCTCGTTCCCAGGGCTTCTCGGCTGCCGAGAAGCCCTGGGAACGAGGATGATACGATGCTGAAAACAATGAAAACAATGTTTTCTGTTTCTGGCAGGGACAAAATGTTGAATATAGTAATATCTTCATATATCAAAATCGACAATGGTCTTTATACTCAACATATTTTTATAAACAATATTAAGTTGTTATGTGTTACATCATAGTCTATCAAGATATGATGGTCTAGAAGTTAAACAGAAGTCATTGTGTCATGTTTTTGTCTAAGTTTATGTTAATTTATGCGGCACGGTCACGGTGATTGAGCTCATTGTATATTTTCGTATATTGAGCTCATCGTCCAATAGGGATAGTTGAGGTGAAACGTGCAACTACGGGCGCTTTCCATTTAGGGACCGTTCATTATTTATACCCGGGGTTGGTGCCGAAGAGAAGCGAAAAACAGTGTAAATTTTTTATTTACCCAACTTCAACATTGGTCAAAATAATGTTTACCCAACCCATGTGTTACTGTACTTCATAATAAATAAACACACAAGATTATGGTGACAGCTCACCGTCTCACTCAAACTCACTGAGTGTGCCAAAGCAATCACATTCCTGCTGATCAATGATAGTCCTTCCTCAATCACTGATGCATGGTCTATTTTTTTACAGATTTTTCTTGATAGTTTCCAATGCATGGTAATTTTGGTTTTATTTTATTTTGTAGCAGACAGACAGCCATAAACCTTTTTACCCAACCTATGAGCTAGTCAAAAACTTGATTACCCAACCCATATCTCTTCGGTACCAACCCCTGGTATAAATAATGAACGGTCCCTTACTCGTCTGACCGGTCAGACCCGAATTCTTTTCTCTGTATCAATGGAATGATCTGGTCTATGTTACTCAAATATCTAGCGAAAATGGACCTCATTCTAATGTTATCAAAATTTTCTAGTCAGATAGGTCCGAAGCCCAAATGTTTTGTGTTTCATTCAACAATTTGACCGTTCTGACCGGTCTGGCCGTGTTAAAGGAAAGCGCCCTACGATCGTGATATTTAATGAAGTTGCGACAAAGGATTTGTGCACGGTGAGGTACAGTTCAACATCAAACAAATGCCTTCTATTTTGTAGCTTTGAAGTTTGCCGGGCTTCCAGACCATCATATCTTGACACACTATACAGGGTGTACTGTACAGGGTGTATAAAAAAAAACGCAACCTCGGAATTTCCTAAGAAATCACTTTGCAATTCTTAAGCATAAAAGATTTTAGGCCCCCTGGGAATTGAAATCGAATTGCTAATAGATCATATTACTGTTGTTGTGCATTAAATAAATGCATAAATTTTGCTTTATGCACTCGCGTGTGCAGTAATTTTGACAGTTATGCTATTTTTAATTCCCAGGCGCCTAAAATCTTTTGTCTTTAAAACAATGTCGATTTCTTGGGAAATTCCGAGGTTGCGCTTTTTTTGATACACCCTGTACAGGGTGTCTCAAAAAAACCCAAA